AGGAAAGACGGTTCAAGACTTGATGGACTACATCACACAGAAGTGTAAGGAGGCAGCAGACAAGTTCGTCACAGTCCAAAAGAAAAAAATGAAATGCAGACGAGAAACCCATGGTTTATTCAGAGATGTAAGCTAGCAAAGAAACTAAGTAAAAAGGCGTGGATAAACTATAGAAATAACAGAACACTAGAGAGCAGAGAAAGATACCAAAGCACCAGGAATGAATACGTCAGGGTGAGAAAAGAGGTAGAGAGGCAATATGAAAATGACATAGCGAGCAAGGCAAAGACTCAACCCAAACTGCTGCATAGCCACATCAGGAGGAAAACAACAGTGAAGGAACAGGTAATGAAACTGAGGATAGGGATAGAAAGATTCACTACAAACGACAAGGAAGTGCACGAGGAACTCAATAAGAAATTCCAGGAGGTCTTCACCTCAGAGCAAGGAGAAGTCCCAGAGATAAGAGAAGAAATATCAAACCAGACATCACTAGAGGAGTTTGTGATTACCACTGGGGAGATGAGGAAGCATCTGCTAGATTTGGATGTGACAAAGGCCTGGATGGAATCTCACAATAGATTGTAAAGGAAGGAGCAGAAGCTCTGTGCCTGCCACTCTCCATGGTGTTCAACAAATCACTGGCAACATATGAACTGCCAAAAATTTGGAAGAAGAAAATGTAGTCCCAATATACAAGGGTGATAGGCAGGAGGCACTGAACTACAGGCCAGTATTCCTATCTTGCATTCCATGCAAGATGATGGAGAAGATTGTGCGAAAAAAGCTAGTAGAACATCTGGAGCGAAAGAACTTTGTAACACAACATCAACATGGATTCAGAGATGGCAAATCATATGCAGGCGATGAGTCACAATAACGTGGCTAAAGTATGTTGACCAGACCCACACACTAAAAGGTGAAGGGACGACGACGTTTCGGTCCGTCCTGGACCATTCTCAAGTCGATTGTGAGAATCTACTTGAGAATGGTCCAGGACGGACCGAAACGTCGTCGTCCCTTCACCTTCTAGTGTGTGATCTGGTCAAAATGGCAAATCATGCCTAACAGGTTTAATTGAGTTCTATGACCAGGCAACAAAAATTAGACAAGAGAGAGAGGGACTGCATATTTCTAGACTACCAGAAAGCCTTTAACACAGTAGCACATAAGAGACTAGTGCACAAACTAGAGATGCAGGCAGGAGTGAAAGGGAAGGTACTCCACTGAATAAGGGAGTACCTAAGCCAGAGGACACAGCAAGTCACGGTGAGAGGTGAGGTCTCAGAGTGGCGGGGAGTCACCAGTGGAGTCCCGCAGGGATTAGTCCTTAGCCCTATACTGTTTCTGATGTATGTACATGATCTCCCAGAAGGAATTGACTCGTTCCTCTGAATGTTTGCTGATGATGCAAAAATTATGAGGAGGATCAAGACAGAGGAATATAGTATATAAGGCTACAAGATGACCTAGACAAACTGAAGGAATGGTCCAACAAATGGCTACTAAAGTTCAACCCAAATAAATGTAGGGTAATAAAACTAGGAGGCCAGTCACTGGATACCGAATGGGAGATAAAGTCCTTCACGAAACGGACAAAGAGAAAGATCTAGGAATTGATATCACACCAAACCTGTCTCCTGAAGCCCACATCAAAAGAATAACGTCTGTGGCGTATGCAAAGCTGGCTAACATCAGAACTGCTTTCAGAAACCTGTGTAAGCAATCCTTCAGAACCTTGTATACCACATATGTAAGGCCAATCCTGGAGTATGCAGCCCCCAGCATGGAGCCCGTACCTTGTCAAGCACAAGACGAAGCTGGAAAAAGTTCAGAGGTATGCCACTAGGCTAGTCCCAGAACTAAGAGGCATGAGTTATGAGGACAGGCTGTGTGAACTGCACCTCACGTCGTTGGAAGACGGAAGAGCTCGGAGAGACATGATCACTACATACAAAATTCTCAAGAGGAATTGACAGGGTAGACAAGGATGGATTATTTAACACGGGTGGTACACACATAAGGGGACACAGGTGGAAGCTGAGTACCCAAATGAGCCACAGAGACATTAGAAAGACCTTTTTCAGTGTTAGAATATTTAGTAAATGGAATGCATTAGGAAGTGATGTGGTGGAGGCTGACTCCATACACAGTTTCAAGTGTAGATATGATAGAGCCCAATAGGCTCAGGAACCTGTACACCAGTTGATTGATGGTTGAGAGGCAGGACCAAAGAGCCAGAGCTCAAACCCCGCAAGCACAACTAGGTGAGTACACTACTAGTACACACACTAAGCCACCACACACACACACACACACACACACACACACACACACACACACACACACACACACACACACACACACACACACACACACACACACACACACACACACACACACACACACACACACACACACACACACACACACCTGTATACAACACCTGAATGCAAAATACTCTTATTGGAGCTGATCACTCTCTCCGCTGCATTAAAATTACCGCCTCATTCTGCCCGTTAAGTTCCACTGTGGTGGAATAGTCTAGCCCCCGCCACTAGTTAAGCTGTGGTAGCAGTTATCTCCCCTCACCCTTCCCATTATTCACAATAAGCTGTGGTAGTAATAATCTCCCTAGGCCCATCAGTCATGCAAAACAAACCCACGTTCCCTGAGGCTGGCTCTCTCAGCCTGTAGTAACTGGCTAAGTTCCTCATCTCTCAGGTAAAGTTCTCGTCTCCCAGGTAAGTTCCTCGTCTACCAGGTAAGTTCCTCGTCTCCCAGGTAAGTTCCTCGTCTTCCCAGGTAAGTTCCTCGTCTTCCCAGGTAAGTTCCTCGTGAACCAGGTCAGTTCCTCGTGAACCGGGTCAGTTCCTCGTGAACCGGGTCAGTTCCTCGTGAACCGGGTCAGTTCCTCGTGAACCAGGTCAGTTCCTCGTGAACCGGGTCAGTTCCTCGTGAACCGGGTCAGTTCCTCGTGAACCAGGTCAGTTCCTCGTGAACCGGGTCAGTTCCTCGTGAACCAGGTCAGTTCCTCGTGAACCAGGTCAGTTCCTCGTGAACCGGGTCAGTTCCTCGTGAACCAGGTCAGTTCCTCGTGAACCAGGTCAGTTCCTCGTGAACCGGGTCAGTTCCTCGTGAACCGGGTCAGTTCCTCGTGAACCAGGTCAGTTCCTCGTGAACCAGGTCAGTTCCTCGTGAACCAGGTCAGTTCCTCGTGAACCAGGTCAGTTCCTGATCAGAATGTATACAAGTGTTGGATGGTGGGCAGCTGACAGTAGCTGACAGGTGGTGTGCACAACGCCTGCTTGATATAGCTGGGATTGTGGATATTGCTGAAGAATGTGTGAAGCCTGAAGGAGTAGGAGGAGGAGAGCGCCTAGCATAGCCCTGGAGATGGTAAGGTCCGTCCTCCGAGATGTACTTTTGTTAGAGTAGTAGATTGTGGTTGTTCGCAGACCCGTGTGTTGATGTTTGTATGTTATGCTCGACTTGTATGTGTGTTTGTGCTCGTATCTTACCTGTGTGGCACCTTGCAGGTAAGGCACCTCACCTTACCTGTGTGGCACCTTGCAGGTAAGGCGCCTTACCTTACCTACGTGGCACCTCGCAGGTAAGGCGCGTTACCTTACCTGTGTGGCACCTCGCAGGTAAGGCGCCTTACCTTACCTGTGCGGCACCTCGCAGGTAAGGCGCGTTACCTTACCTACGTGGCACCTCGCAGGTATGGAACCTTACCTGTGTGGCATCTCGCAGGTAAGGCGCCTTACCTTACCTACGTGGCACCTCGCAGGTAAGGCGCCTCACCTTACCTGTGTGGCACCTCGCAGGTATGGCACCTTACCTTACCTACGTGGCACCTCGCAGGTAAGGCGCCTTACCTTACCTGTGTGGCACCTCGCAGGTAAGGCGCCTTACCTTACCTACGTGGCACCTCGCAGGTATGGCACCTTACCTGTGTGGCATCTCGCAGGTAAGGCGCCTTACCTTACCTACGTGGCACCTCACAGGTAAGGCCCCTCACCTTACCTGTGTGGCATCTCGCAGGTATGGCACCTTACCTTACCTACGTGGCACCTCGCAGGTATGGCACCTTACCTTACCTGTGTGGCATCTCAACATATGATTATTGGTAATATTTAAGGTTTCACCTGTGGCATAATACTGTATAACAGTAGCGATATGTTATCTGTGTAAACATAAGCAAGCAGTCACCAGCGGCCGAGCAGGAGCAGCAGTAGCCACAAGCAGCAGCAGCAGCAGCAGCAAGCAGCAGCAGCAGCAGCAGCAAGCAGCAGCAGGGAGCTCTGTTCACATTTTCCACCCACATTATATCACAACGCATGTGCACTATTGACCATATGAGTATGGTCAAGTTTACAAAGTGTATTTTAACGAACTAATGCTATACAAAGTGTTAAAAGAATGCTGCAAGCAGTACAAAGGGTAGAACTAGCCTAAGCTAATCTATTCCTTTGAGATGTATTTCATTGTCTCAATAAACGTACTTGAACTTGAAATGTGTTCAATCCAGTGGTGTTGAACCAGGTCACCTGTACAGGGCTATCCCAACAGCTGTTCATATCGCCACTAAAAATGTTAATCCTTAGTTTATATTAAGGAATCTCAAGTAATTTAGAAAATTACATGTCCTTAAAGATAAGTTTCAAATTATTCACTTGCATGTTGACCACAGTTGTGTTATCCTTCACACATGAAAATATTTATACATTGTAAATTATTTACATAGAGCTTTCAATACGAGACATATCATATAAACTCAGCTTAAAAATAACCCTGTCCAAACAGGTTGAATGCAAGTGGCAAACGTTTCGGTCCATCTTAGACCTGTATGCCCACAAGACAGACCGAAACGTCGTCACAATTATTGCATTGTGTGGGTAGAATTGCTTGTTTCAGTCCTGTTAGTGAGCCCTATTCTCTGCCAGTTTAAAAATGTCTTGCAATTTCCCATTATAATCGTGTCTGATCTTCGACAGGATTTCAGCGAAAGCTTCCAGATCCTACACGCGGGCCGGGCGCTGCGGATCCTGCGCCTGGCCAAGCTGCTGTCCTTGGTCCGACTCCTGCGCCTCTCCCGCCTTGTGCGTTACGTGTCGCAGTGGGAGGAGGTCTATGTAAGCAGCGTCAGTGTTACCCCTATTGATTCTTTCTCTCGCCTTCACTCACACACACACAAATATACTCAGCTTCACACATCCGCTAATATGTATGTTAGAACATAGCCTCATGCCTAGATGACCCCCACGCCTATGTACAAGATAGAGCAATTACATACAGGATACAAACCCTCTAACCATGACGAGAGCATGCGCGCTAAGGCCGGCCAGTTATAAGCCTTGTTGCGCCAGAGAACACTCGTGTTTAGTTGCAGATCTGTGCATACTACAGTTGTGCTCATGCTGCAAGATACCCAGCCACACTACCCAGCTGCCCAGCCACAGTACCCACACCACTTACCCTGCCCCCAGCTGCCCCATTCACACTACCCACAACACTGACCCTGCCCCCCAGCCGCCCCAGCCACACTGCCCACAGCACTCACCCCCTGCCCCAAAGGACCCCTTTGTTGTACACAAAGTGAGGTGGCGAGGCAGTGTAAGGAGGGACTCTCCTCACCTCTCCTCAGCTCCACCTGTAGAGCCCTCTAGCGTAGCTTACTTAAACATAGTGTAAATAATTAAAGCTGTGAATGCGTTCCAGTTTCCTTGCCAGAGTAGAGCAGGCTCTCAAAGGTTACTTTTTTAACAGAAAACTAGAAATCTCGTTGATAGTCAATAATTAGTCTTTAAAATAAATGTTACAAAATGTAACACCTTTAGTTTAAAGATTTTATCGCACAATGTATTTCATACAAACTGCATTAAGTTGTTGATGTGTCTTTAAGTATTCACTTCTTAATAATCATTCCTTTAATGAAGAGAAAATGTTTCATGATCAGTAAACAAAGATTTAATTCAGAAAAGATGTTTAATCGCTGTGCACCTGAGACATATTTATTGGTACTTTTAACAAAGTAGTTCAGTCGATCTCTCTATGGTCCCTTCAATATTTGCAGGGACTATATTAGCGGCTCAGGCCTTTGTTGCAGTGCTGGTCCAGGCCTTTGTTGCAGTGCTTTGTGGTGGTGAAAGGCTCGCGTTCGTCTGGTGAAAGGCCGTCCTTGGAGGTTGGTTGGGTGTCCGAGCTGGGGCGAGAGGGATAAAGATGCAGTTGGATTATCTGTTAAAAAGGAAGAGTACTGCTTGGGACGACACAGCCTATCCTGCACCAACCAGTGCTCAGCCTCCCTTCCTGCCCTGATAGGCGATATCCCTTGCTCTGGGGCCCAAACTTTTGAAATTTGGTGTAATGGTAAATGAACTGACTTGTGGAACACAGGCTCGTGGGACAGGCGACCAAGCCTCCGAGTCAGACAGTCATAGAAGATCGGACTCTGTAGCCCCAGCTAGGTTGGGCCCAGACCAGACTCTGTATCCCCAGCTACATTGGGCCCAGACCAGGCTTCGTAACCCCGGCTATGTTGGGCCCAGACCAGGCTTCATCTTTGGCTATCCCAACTGATCCTCGCTAATCCCCTGGCAGAGTCGAACCCTAAGCCCCAGTGGTGACCACTTCGTCACCTTGAATGGCTCCATCTTTAGTTGTGACAACACCTTTTATCCGGCTCCTTGATAGGGGACCACAGTGCCGTAACTGCACTTGAACATGCAAGATTCCTTGAAACTGCTATGTTCCATGACCTGTTTGGCCCCACTATGTGACCTAAGTATTTTTATGTTTGTCATGATGAACATGTCCGTCCCGATGATGTACACATCCATACGCTCCTAGTTGTCTCTGTGGGTAACTATGTTACTTTTAAGGTCACCCACAACACTGGTTGTTGCGGCCCTTCTCAGGAGGCAGCCATCCGCTTACATGTTTTGTCTTGCACTGGTAAGACCTTAGTTTGGGTCCCCAAAAGTATCCACTTAAATCCCTACATTGGCACAGTCATTCTCCCTTGTCATGCTGTGATTGGGAACAGGGAACTTGGACTGCCATGATGATATTAAATATATCCTCTATGCCCAAGATTATTCTATCATCTAGAGTGACACGTTCACTCAACTCCCTTGTGGTCGTCATCGTCAGCCCTTTAAGAGTAGTTAAGATCACTTTCCATGATTGGATCCTTCCATTTTCCGTAATTCTTGTCAGTGCCAGATGCACCGCTCAGGATTACGTCCCCCTCTCCACTCATCTGCAACAGGTGCTGGACATATTGGCATGATTCCTTCAAGTACAGTAGTGGGTCGTCCCTTTGCCCCATTTGGGGTGGCCCTAGCCATTGAAGGACAGACTCTTATACCCAGACTCACTGCATCAACCGCAGAAGGCCCACTCTGCCTTCTCACATGCATGCATACACTGTATATATAAATTTTAACATCCCATCGTTAACTTAAAACATCAGGAGTATATATCTTTCCTTGAGGCAAGACGCCCCGGTCCACCGTCTTGACTCTTTCTCTGGCGTGACATCCTGGTGCATTGCCTTACTCTTCCCCACACTTCTTCTCCTCAGTTCCCCAAACATTTCCAAGCCGACACCCCGCAAACTTCCACCAGCTCCTCTCCGATCTGAGGCTGAGGGTATTCCTCAAGGGGTCACCGACTGGCATCCTATCTATCATATTTACATCACTTCTCCACCTTCTCACCCATCTAGTCCACTATGATCTTTAACTTTCGACCCCGCATCTTCCCTCTGTCATTTGGCCCTCCCCGACAAAGGTCCGGCCACCTCTCGGCCATCTTTGTACTGTCCACCTGCACTCCCTTCCTGCCTGAGACTGTAGCACAGTATACTGCTATTGGCATGCCTGTGTCTCAGTCACACATGTCAAACTGGTTCCATTTCCTCTTCATCTCTAGGTGGTAAGACGGTTTCACTCCTTCCTCCAGTTTCTGCCGCAACCTTTCTTTCTGCATCTACTCCCATCGCGGTGCCAGAGTCAGCTGACCTCGATATGGAAGTTCCTGTAGCGCTTGTTTCAGCCTCAGGTGCTGTCCTTGATCCAGTGCTTGCTGGATTTACCAATGTTCCTCACCTTGCTTTCACTGAACCAGCTCCTGACCCCCTCCCAAGTATCCTGCATCATTTTTTGCTTTTTTTTATCTCTTTCTTTTTATTGTTATTTCTGTTATTTTCTACGTCTATTCTTCAATGGAATATGCATGGTTTTTATGACATGTTTCATGAACTCCAACCTCTGATCTTACAGTTTTCACCGCTTGTACATGTCTCCAGGAGTTGATGCTTGGCGCTCGTCCTCCTCACTTCTGCAAATATTCCATTCCCCCCCCCCTGCTATTTCAGTCGACCATTCATTCCTCTACTACCCTTACCTTTGTAAGTAAATGGTATACCCTCTGTTTTAACTGTCTAACTACATATTCGACTTTCTCTTCCCAAACCTAAATGGCTGTTAGCCTCAGTACCGGAGCCTGTGCTTCTTTTGGATGATTTTAACTATCAGGGTGATGATATTGGAGCAGTCTCTGTGGTGTAGTGGTAAGACATTCGCCTGGCGTTCCGCGAGCGCTATGTCATGGGTTCGTATCCTGGCCGGGGAGGATTTACTGGGCGCAAATCCTTAACTGTAGCCTCTGTTTAACCCAACAGTAAAATGGGTACTTGGACGAAAAAACGATTCTTCGCGGCGGGGATCGTATTCCAGGGACCATAGGATTAAGGACTTGCCCGAAACGCTACGCGTACTAGTGGCTCTACAAGAATGTAACAACTCTTGTATATCTCAAGTCTGACAAGTACCCAAAGCCACTTTTTAGAACCGTTTCTCCTCTCTATTCTGCAGTCTCTCCTGAATTCTGGTGAGCCATTTGACTCACACACTCGTATCCTTTTTGAAAGGATACAAGAAAGAAATTGTCGTACTAAAGTGTCCTCTCCTAACCTACCAGAGGACCCAAAACAGAAAACGGAACAATATGTCATTTCCGCCAGCCGCTTCCAATTTCTAGTATGACAATTGTTGGCCTTAGGTAAAGTATAGTCAAAATGCGACACACTATTAGGAGGACGGGTTGCTTGATGACCTCCATAATGGTGACTTTCTCCATCCTCATCGTCGTCTTTCTGACCTTCTCGCTCTTTCCCTTCGTAGCGGTTTGATAAGGCGGACTCTAATCTTGTCATCCTTCACACTACTTTTCCCAGCCTGTCTTATCTGCCTCTCCTTTGAGCCCCTCCTCCTTTGTTCAGGACACTGTATTGGTCGCTGCCCTCTGCTTTGTTTCTCACTATACCTCCTGTGGTATGCGATAGTACATTCCATGGTAGAATTTGGACTGAGTTTGAGCTATATGCTTTACAGCAGCAGGCTCTAATGGCATTCACTATGAGATGCTTCATCGTCTCCCTTAGTGTGCCTTACAGTATTTTCTGAATGTCAATAACCATATCTGGGAGGTGACATCAGTCCCTGAGAAGTGGCTCGAGGCGGTTGTCCTTCCCATTTGGTAACCCGATGCTCAGGAGACTTCTCCCCTAAGGATTTTCGCCCCATTGTCATGACGAAATGTCTCCAATTTTTTTTTTTAAGTATTGTTAATAAATGTCTTGTGGGGTTCTTTGAACATCACCGCTACCTCAGCACGAAAGGTGTCTTAGTGGACTTGGAGGTCAACATTCATATTGCCTTTGTTGTGAATATCTCCAGTATTGCCTTGGATTTTGACTTGGAAAAGGCGTATGACACAACCTGGAGATTCAACATTTTATCCTGACTACATTCTTTTGGTCTTTGAGGCAATCTCCTGCTCCTGGTTAATACCTGGTTGATGGGGTTCTGGGAGTTCTTCTACTCCGCAAGCCCGGTCCGAGGCCAGGCTTGACTTGTGAGAGTTTGGTCCACCAGGCTGTTGCTTGGAGCGGCCCGAGGCCAGGCTTGACTTGTGAGAGTTTGGTCCACCAGGCTGTTGCTTGGAGCGGCCCGAGGCCAGGCTTGACTTGTGAGAGTTTGGTCCACCAGGCTGTTGCTTGGAGCGGCCCGAGGCCCACATACCCACCACAGCCCGGTTGGTCCGGCACTCCTTGGAGAAAATTATC